CTCCCATGAATCATCAATGCTCTAAATGGTAGAATAGTTAATCCTTTTCAGAAAGTTTTCAACTTGATTTGCCCAGATCCTTCGGAGGAATCGTTACCTAGAGCAGCTATAGCTTTACAAAATGTATTTCATAAATAATAAGATATGAAAGTCAAAATTGCTCCTTAATCCATGGACTACAGATGGATGTTACATTAGCAGGCATGCAAAAACATTAAAATCATAAATTTCCATCAGATGCATTGTCAATGAGCAGTAATATTTTTAAAGCAATCCTTTTTTTCCTGAGCAGTAAGTCTCAACAATGGACTTAAAATATTCAGTAAACCATATTGTAAACAGACATGCTGTCATCCAGACTTCGTTGTTCCATTTATACAGTACAGCAGCACAGATTTAGCATAATTCTTAAGGGGATTTTCTAAATGGTAAAAAAGCATTGGCTTCAACTTAAAGTCACCAGCTACATTAGCTCCTAACAAGAGAGTCAGTCTATCCTTTGAAATTTTGAAGCCAGGCAATGACTTCTCTCTAGCTAAGAAAATCCTAGAAGGCATCTTCTGGCAATATAAGGCTGTTGCATCTACACTGAAAATCTGTTGTTTTGTGTAGTCTTCCATTATTTTAGCTAGATCTGGATTAGTTCATGCAGCTTCTACATCAGCACTTGCTGCTTCACCTTGCACTTTTATGTTGTGGAGATGGCTTTTTTCCTTAATCCTCACGAACCAAGCTCTGCTAGCTTCAGATTTTTCTTCTTCGATTCTCTCACCTCTCCCAACCTTCATAGAGTTGAAGAGAGTTAGAGCCTGTCTCTGGATTAGACTTTAGCTTAAGGGAATATTGTGGCTGGTTTGGTTTCCTATCCAAAAGGCAAAACTTGAATTTGCCATGTGCCGAGCACTCTGCTGAATCCACGTGAATAAAGTGACATATAGGCATACCCTGCTGTACTATGCAAATTCAATGACATTTTATATTAGGGACTTGAGCATCCGCAGATTTTCATATCTGAGAGGGTCTTGGAACCAATCCCCTGTGTATATGGAGGGATGAGAGATGACTGTAGTTAATAAACTGTATTGTGTATTTGAAGTTGCTAGGAGAGTAGACCTTAAATGTTCTCACCACAAAAAGAAATGGTAGTTATGGGACATGGTGGAGTTGTTAGCTAATGCGATGGTGGTAATCATTTTGCAATATGTAAATATCAAATCAATATGTTGTACACCTTAAACTTACACAATGTTCTGTCAATTTATCTCAATAAAGCTAGAAAAAATAATAGTGGAAATAGACATTTTTGTCTTGTTTCTGCCTAGTAAAAATACCTATCGTGATTCTCCATTAAGTAAAATCCTATGGATTTTGGTCATCTATGTATCTGTATATTATCTATCTATCCATATTATCCACATTCAGAGATATTATCATGTTAAAAAATTTACCTATTCTTATTTTCTCATGTTCTTATTGTTCTGTTGGTGTTAAATTCTGTCAGACTTTTCCAACATTTATGGAGATAATCATATTGTTTTTTTCTTTGGACTTAATACTATGATGAATTATACTAATTGTATTTCTAATATTCAGTCACCCTTCCATTTCTTGTTACCAACTCCTTTTGGTCATTCTATATTATTTTCTTAATGTGTTGGAGTTTGTTAATATTTCATTTATGATTTTCATATTGATATTCATAAGTAATATTGGGTTATGATATTTTTTGTGCTATCATTATCAGTATTAAGTATCAATTTTTTCTATTTCCCATGAAAGAAATTTAGAAGTGTTCCTTCAATTTCTAGACTCTGAAACTATTAGTACAGCATTTTGACTAGGCTCTAAAGATTTGCTTGATTTTTCCATGAAACCATCTGGACTTGGTGGTTTTTTGATAGAATAGTTTATGCATAATTTTCTGTACTTATTTTATGGAAACTTGTCAGTTTAAGCTTTCTCTTTCTGTTAAGGTCAATTTTAGTAAATTACTTTCTTTGAAGTTACTCATTTTATTGAGGTTTTGAAACTTATTTGCATAGTGGTATCAAAGTAGTGTCTTATTAAAATTTTTTTTTCTTCTACCAATAGTTACATTTTTCTTTTCCATTTATTATTTTAATGTATTTGTGCTTTTATTAATTTCTTGATTAACTAGCTGGTAATTTTTTGTTTAGATTTTTTTTCAAGGAACCATAACTTTGTTTTATTAATATCATTTAATTTTTTCCTTATTAATTTCTGCCTTTTTTCTTTAGTATTTCTTTTATTATATTATCTTTTGGTTTACTTTTTTTTAAAATCAAAATTTTTAGGGAGACAATTGTTAGTAAAATTACATAGGTTTCAAGTGCACAATTCTGTAATACATCATCTGTATATCACATTGTGTGTTTACCACCCAGAGTCAATTCTCCTTCCATCGCCATATATTTGACCCCATTTACCCTCCCCTCTTACCCTCTGGTAACCTCTAAACTATTGTCTGTGTCTATGAGTTTTTGTTTTTTTTATTTGTTTGTCTTGTTGCTTTGTTGCTTTCATTTTATATACCACATATCAGTGAAATCATATGGTTCTCAACTTTTTCTGTGTGACTTATTTTGCTTAGCATAATAATCTCAAGATCCATCCATGTTGTGGCATCTATGACTGAGTAGTACTCAATTGTGTATATATACCACATCTTTATCTAGTCATCTATCAAAGGGTATTTTAGTTTCCATGTCTTGGCCACCGTAAATAAAGCTGCAGTGAACATCGGAGCACATATATCTTTACAGATAAATGCTTTCACATTTTTGGGGGTATATACCCAGGAAAGGGATTGCTGGGTCATATGGTAATTCTATTCTTAATTTTTTGAGGAACCTCCACACTGCCTTCCATAGCGGCTGCACCAATCTGCATTTCCAACAAGAGTGTATGACCGTTTGTTTTTTCCCACAGCCTCTCTAACACTTATCATTTGTCTTGTTGATGATAGCCATTCTAATACGTGTGAGGTGCTATCTCATTGTGATTTTTATTTACATTTCTCTGATGATTAGTGATGTTGAGCATCTTTTCATATATATTTATGGGCCATCTGTATGTCCTCTTTGGAGAAATGTCTATTCAAGTCCTCTGCCCATTTTTTAATTGGATTGTTTGTTTTATTGTTGTTGAGTTGTATGAGTTATATAAATAACTTGATTTACTTTTTTTCCTAGTGTTTTGAGTTAGAATTTATTTGTATTTGTTTGATATTGTAGGACTGTGAGTTTTCCACTCATCAGTGCTATAAATGTCTCCTATACATTATGATGTATTGTTTTCATTATCATTACTTTTCAGAAATTCTGTAATTTTTTTTAGTTCTCTGTTCACTCAACAACTATTTAGTAATATCCTAATGATAGGTCCTTTTTGAATTTTGCTTTTATAGTCCAATTTAGCATTGTGATCAAAGAGTGTTGTTTGTAATATTTTCACTTTTATAACCTACTGGTTTTCTTTATGTCTTATATATAATCTATTTTTTCCACATGCACTTGAAAAGAAGGTATATTTTCTATTGTCTGAGTGTAGTCAGTGTTAGTCAGGATGTATTTCATATATAACCAAAGGTTCTACTTTATTAAATTATTTGATTTTATTGATATCATTTATTTTTTGTTCACTTGATTTGTCAAACTGTTTTATATTAGTGATTATTATGTTACTCGTTACATAGATATTCTTAAATATTACATCTTCATTGTGGAATGTAGGTTTTAACATTATGAAACATACTTCTTTATCTAGTTTAGTGGTGTTTTGGCTTAATATTTATTTTGGTTTTAGGGTTGCAACTTCTACTTATTGTTTCTATTTTTACGGTAAATATTTTTCCATAATTTTATTTTTAACCTTTTTGAATCACTGCATTAAGATGTGTGTATTGTATATAGCATGATGTTCATTGCTTTACCTGCCAATTTGAAAATTCATTTCTTTTAATATGCAAGTGATGCCTATTTTGATATGCTTGATTCTCAAATTTTAGCATGCAGAGAAATCAACTGGCAGGCTAGTTAAAACATATATCGCTGACCCTACTCCCACAGTTTTTGATTCAGTAGGCTGGAGTGGGGTCTGAGATTTTGCATTACTAACAAATTTGAATGTTTAGGTGGTGCTGATGCTATTGTTCGTGGAACCACACTTCTTGAACCATTGATCTAGAGTTATTGTTGCAGAAGAGCAAGTTTAGACTAGCTTGAATTTTGTTAAGTAACTTTTTTCTGCTGGAATGCATATAGTAATATTTTTCTTTAATAATGTAATTCAGAACTTTTATCCAGATGTGATAGTGTGTTTGTGTGTGTGTGTGTGTGTGTGTGTGTGTGTGTGTGTTAAATGTAATCATTTTAACATTACATTTTTTAAGTGGTAAATATTGGTAATTTTTTGACTTTGTGATTGGTTTTGTATATTCAGTTTCTCTCACAATCTTCCATACCAGATGTTTGCATTTTCTATTAAAAATATCAAGTAGTAGTGTAATATTTTATGTCTTGATTGTTAGGCCTTTTTGCAGAGCGAAGTTATATTGAAAAAGTAATGTTGGGTAAAATAATGCTTTTCATTATTGTACTATCTTCTGTATGGAAAAAAAATAGTACTGTTCTTAGGGGAATTTGAATTTTATCCCTTAACTATATTAAGAAAATACATGAAATCATTTATGTGAATTATTTTGGGGTCTTCTAATATCTATCTATCTATCATCTATATATCTATATCTATAAGGATGTAAAATTCTTTTTTTTGGGAACTAAGTTGTCTATGCAAGATGTACTAAAATCTCTCTATAAATATAAAAATACTTTGATTTTTGGATTATAGTTATAGTTTCATTTTAGTAATTTGTTCATTTTTGTGATTGACAATTGTAAGAGACTTGAATTAAATATTTTATCATATACATTGTGAAGCATTTTATTTTAAAACTTATTAATTAAAACTTTATTTTCCAGATTTTGGAATCTCTTTTTCAGGTATGTCCAATATATTGCACTTTAAGCCTACTAAAATTTAATACAGAAATACATGTAAATGAAAAAGTTTCTGCCCTGCTAGCTCAGTCAGTAGAGAATGAGACTCTTAAATGAAAAAGTTTCTAAGTTTTGAGAAAATAAAAAGTAGTCACAAACTTGCTACTATATGTATTGAAAAATTTTATGTTCCAGTTGTGTGTTACATTAGCCCTATTCTGAACCCTAGGATAAATGATGTTTGTTCAGTGCTAATAGTTGATGTGTGAAAATTCATTCTCTCTCTCTCTCTCTCTCTCTCTCTCTCTCTCTCTCTCTCACACACACACACACACACACACACACTCTCTCTCTCTCTCTCACACACACACACACAGACACACACACACGTGCATACCCATTTATTTCACTGCAGAAATTTAACATCAATAACTATTTTGTTTTTGTCCCTCATTTTTTAAAAAGTGGTTTCAGCAGCAAGTCAATCAGGTGGAAGAGGTAAGTATTAACTTTTTCTTAAGTGTTAATTAAATTAATATTTTGTCTCATTTGCAAACCAATTTGAAGTATAATTTTAAAAATTTTGAATAACCATGGTTATAATCTTGATTTAGATAGAGAAGGAATGAGTGGGTAGAATAAAAGTGGCTCAGTGATCTACATACTACATTCCTGTACATACCTGGCATACTCTGAGTTTGGCACATACTTTCTCCTAAAATTGAACAATAGAAATTGAATTATTATTTCCCTAATTTACATAAAAGAGCAAGTGACAAGAAAAAATGTATCAACTTAAAACTTCCCCTATATTTAAAAAATCTTGTGTAATATTATATAGTATGCTTACTCACAAAATTATATATTGGCATTCTTTAAAATTAATGTTATTTCAATGATTTTCTTTTTTTTGGTAATCTTTGATTTTCAGGTGCTTTACTACCGGTTTGAAAAACTACTGGTCTCTGTCCTTAATTTTATTTTGGAAAAGGTTTTATGGATGCTTGTTAATGTAGCAGAATGATTTCCAAGGTAGCTTCAGTGATTCATAGAATTATTTTAGTTCTTCTTTGGCTATATTTGTGGTTTAGTTCAATTAAACACTCTTGAAGCCCAGACACTTTATTTATTTTTTGTTTATTTACTTTTTTTAGCTGAGCCATCCTGTCACCTGTTGGCAGCTCAGTGGCAGCTCAGCTTGGGTGGGGAATTGAACCAGTGACCCTGTTGTTCAGAGCTCGCACTCTTGAGCGAGTGCTTAACTAACTGAGCCACTCGGCCAGCCCTGAAGCCCAGACACTTTAAATTAAATAGGTTTATTTATTTCGGATGTACATTAAAGAGTAAAGATAGAAATGGTAACTGTATTCTGGCACCTCCTTATTATTTTACTTCTGGCCGGAGAGCAGGCTTTCACGGTCTTATACCATGAGAAAAAAACCTTGCAGATAGTTTAGGAATGATGGAAGTAGTTGAATTTTTCTTAAAAAGTGTTAACTGATAAACTCGCACCTAGTGTAGAGGTTAACAGGCATTCTCTCCTTGAAAGAGCCACCTAGGGATATCAAATAAGATTGGAATTGTTTTTGGATTGTCTATAAAACCTTAACAGTTTAGTTGAGGACCGTACTTTACAAGTTCAGAGCTATTTTTTTTGTATCAATTTGCTATTAATATATACTGCTGAAGCATTTCTTAGCCTATCCGGACTGTATTCTGTCCCCACAACAAAGAAAACATTCTGTATGGTTCTCTGTGATTTATATGTTGTTAAATTCAACAGGTATTTTTCTTTTTTACTTTAGTTAACATTATTGATAACTTCCTTATTTTTAAAACACTGTTTCTTTGGGTTTTTTTGTTTTGTTTTGTTTTTTTTATGAACTACCCTCTCCTGGCTATTGTTTTACCTCTTTGGCTATCTCCTGTTTAGAGATACCTTCTTTATATAACCATGAAATATGTTGGATTGCCTCAAGATTTCATCCTATGTCTTCCTTGTTTTGTTTTGTTTTGTTTTTATTCTTCAAACTTTCCCCCTAGGCAGTCTCATCCAGTTTTTTTCACTCAAGTGTTACCTTTATACTGGTAATTTAGAAATAAACACTTCTTGCTCAAAACCGTCCTCTGACCAGACATGTGTATAATTACCTACTAGACTTGTACCTCAAACCCAATGGGTCCAAATCAATTTTTTACCACTAAACTCATCCCCCTTCCAGTGCTCCCTCTCTCTCTGAGTGGTAATAGCATCCATCCTATTGGGTAAACCAGAAATGTGGTAATTTACCTTGACAACTCGATTCCATCTATCCCTAATATTCAATCCATTCTTGAATCCTTTTGATTTTATTTCCTAAATAGCTGCCAAATGTGTCTATTATACTCTGTATTTACTACTGCTTATATCTTGGTGCCAATAACCATTATCTCTAGTATAAATTCTGATTTTTCATATTCACCAGGAGGAATCTTGTATATACCACTAAACTTCTGATCTGCAATTCCAAGTTTTTCAGTATTTAAACCCATAATTGATATTTTCTTAATTTGATGTACCTGGTACATTGTCCAAGTGTTATATTATCTTCTGCCTTTCAGGGAGTGTTTCTTAAAGTATAATTGATGCACCATGTTTAAATATCACATAAGATACCTGTTACAAATGCACATTTCAGACCTTCAAATCAGACTTACTGAATTAAAATTTTCTTTTTTTGCGTGTGTGTGTGTGTGTGTGTGTGTGTGTGTGTGTGTGTGTGTGTTAGGAATCTTCCCCTTTAACTGGCTGTCTTAGAGGATTATTATGCACTCTAACATTTGAGAATCTTGGGATAATCTTGTGTTTATTGTTGACACGTTTTATTGTCACTACATGCTGGTGAGGTAAATGCCTGTAGTCCTGTTGCATTAACAGAGTTGAAGCCTTCAGAATGTACAGTGACTGGCACTACAAAATGTAAGATAAGCATGTAGTCTATATGCTTCAGAGCTGTTGTGCTGGAACCTGTACCTAGTAGGTCTCTTTAATGAAATCTTACAGCTGATAATCCCACTGTCTTGTCCATATTTCCTTAATTCTGTGACATTATCTCTTGTCCTAGAAAGGACTTATGTTCAAATTGAATCCATATTGGGCAATATTGGGTTGTTGGAAAAGTCATGACACATTTTTGCAACGAAAAACAGAAAAACTACATCATGACTTTTCCGAAAACCCAATATAATATATCAGTTAGGGTCTAATCAAGAGGCAAAAATGACAGAGTAATCTGAATAGGGGAAGTTTAATATAGAGAATTATTATAATAGAAGAATACCTACTACCGAGGTAAAGATAACTCTAAAGAATGCAAGGATAGACGATATAGGGAGCACCCTCTACCTCTAGGATTGAAGCAGAGTACTCAAGAAGGGAACGAATCTGAATACCCATATCTTTTCCCTCCCCTTAACCAAGTGCTAAGATCCAGATCTTGTGAAGAAGCAGCAGCTGTCATTATCGGATGGCAAAAGGTTTGCTGGAGTGCCATGTTGATGGAACTAGAACTCACTGGGAAGCTGCCCATGGGGGTGGTACACTGGGAAGCCATCCTCTGTGGTGCTGTACTTTTTGCTGGGAAGCTGTCCACAAGGGTGAAATGCTGGAGAGCTTCCCAAAGAGAGGTTTTGCACTGGTCGATTTTGATAAGAAGTTCTGGGAGAAGCTGCCCATAGGAGTGATCCACACCAGGGACCTTGCTAGGAAGCCATCATGGGGGTGGTGCTGTTGAAATTTGCTGGAGGTAAACACTATGAGGTATATACTGTGCACTGCCCTAGGATTACACACACACACACACACACACACACACACACACACGTAATAGAACTAGGAAGAAAAGCTTCTTTTTCTTCTAGTGTTTAGGACCCTCTACTGACAAAGGTTAGCATCATGTCACCTGTCAAGAGAGAAACCTTCCATTATTATAAGCAGGACAATGAAGAATGGACTACAGATGAGAGGCAATAAATCGATAACTGTAGCTGATGGCTACACCACTGTTTTTAGACTCAATTTATGTTTGGCATCCTCTTCTTTGGGATCTTGGCTTTGTCCATAGAATTTCCATGCATTCCCTGTTCTGTACCCCCCAGTCTCAGGCTTACAGTACATTGTCAGTATTCACTTGTGCCGTTATATCCTAATCCCAGTCCAAATACCCATTACTAAAATGAAAACTTTGTTCTAAATTCTCAATGCCAGAATTTCTCTTTGCTAGGTCCTAGAACTATGCCTTGACTACTACTTTTTTTTCTCAGCTGTCCTTTCTATCATAAGGATTGAAGGTGTCTATATGGATAGATTTCTATTATTCTCCTGTCGAAACTTTCTTGCCTCAATTGTTATTGTGCTTGCTTATGTCGCCACATATTCGTTGTTTCTAGGTTTCTTTCATTATGGTTTTTTAAGCACTCATTCTTGCTGAACTTTGTTTAAGTAGACTTATTGCCTAGAATGCCAATTATTGCCTGTCATCTTATTCAGTGGATCTTATTGATTCTTCCTGGCAGCTCATTACTCTGTAGCGTGGTCTATTCCAAAGGCTTGAGGTACCCAAATGGGTTTCAGTCTTCCCCATACAGATTGAGGAATGCCAGCTCCATAGACCTTTATATATTAATTTCTGGGGGTTAGTAATAGAATATATTAGTCTTTGAGAACATATTACTGTCTTTCCATAATTTATCACAATAAGAGTATTCTTAGAAGGAATTTTGGGGAAACAGTTACTTTAAATTCTCTTGTAAGCATTTTGAATTTCCTTTAACTAGTTGTGCTACAATTGTTATTACACTTGCTTAAAATTGTTATATATTAAAATAAACAGAAGATTGGATTTGAGTTTTGACGTGTAAAAGTCAACACTTAGCTATAATTCTGTTGTCAAGTAATTGCTCATTTCAATGTATTTGTAAAAATGTTAGTACTTGGTTATAGCTATAGATAAAAATAATATAAAATTATTTAGATAAGATAAATGAAACAGTGAGTTTGCTTTGAGGTAAGGGAACAAAATGGGTATTTCCTAAGTAACTGGCTAATTTTATTATTTTAGATAAGTAAAGATCAATATTTTTCAGAAGTAGAGTTTCCAGCACCTGATAAAACAGTCACTTTAAGCATTGCACAAGTAGGAAAGCATGCGCAAAAACTTGAAGAACTGAAAAATCGTCTTAGAGAAGGATCTGTATTCTCCTGGAAAGCTCTGATGTCTAGTTCCAGGTAAGTAAAATATGAGTTAATAGAATTAAAAACAATATGAGTGGGTATATATTGGGTCTTCAGAAAAGTCATGATGCATGTTTGCAACAGGTGGCACTAGTTCATTTTTGGAAGTACTAGAGTCATTTGCATCTATGTTATTGCTATGCCATTTGACAGTTGACAGTTCTAGCTTTATTTTTTTTTTAAATTGAGCGATTTGGTTGAGTTTTGGAGATTTTACAACAAGTTGAAGATCTGGACGACCAAACTGTTTATTTTTGCCATATTTTACTGTTTTACTTCCAAAAAGGGAAGAATGTGCATCAAGCTTGTGAAAAGCTGCATAAAGTTTATGGTGACAATGTTCTACAAGAACATCAGTGCCAACGATGGTTCATGAAATTCTGTGCTGGTGATTTTGATCTCAATGAGGCCCCTCGGCCAGGGAGGCCCACCAAGGTTGACGATGACAAAATAAAGGCATTGATTGAGTCAAACCCACATTATATGACACAAGAGATTGCAGAAACATTGAACATCCATCATTCAGGCATTCACGACCACCTGAAGAAGCTGGGCTACGTAAGCTCGATATGTGGGTTCCGCATGAACTCAAAGAAGTTCATTTGACAGTGCATATAAATATGCTCATTAAATGAGGAAAACAATCCTTTTTTGAAGCGAATGATAACTGGTGACGAGAAGTGGATTGTTTACAACAATGTAGTGCGCAAACAGTCTTGGTCCCGATGTGATGTATCGCCTCAAACGACATCAAAAGCAGACATTCATCAGAGGAAGATTCTGCTATCAGTGTGGTGGGATTTTAAAGGTGTCATGCTTTTCAAGCTCCCACCAAGGAACTAAACAATCAATTTGAATGTGTACTGTTGGCAATTGGACAGTTTGAATAAATCCATCATCCAGAAACATCCAGAGCTTGTTAATTGTAAAGGAATTGTGTTCGATCACAACAATGCGAGACCACACACAAGTTTGATCACCCGTCAAAAATTATTGGAGCTTGGATGGGATGTGTTGCCACACCCACCACACTTGCCTGACCTTGCACCATCAGACTTCCACTTGTTTTGCTCTCCTCAAAACTCCTTGTGTGGTATAACGTTCAATTCAGGTGAGGCTATAAATCAGCACCTTGTTCAGATTTTCGCAAATAAAGACAGGTCCTTCTATTAATGAGGAATTTTGAAACTCACTGAAAGATGGCAAGAGGTTATCAAACAAAATGGGCAATATATCATTGATTGATCTTTGTTCTTTATATAAATAAATGACATTTGAATAACATAGACAAAATACGTCATGACTTTTCTGAAGACCCAATAATTAGTAATGAATGTAAGATAATGGTTCAGATATTATACTACACAGAGCTTGTAAATCAAATCAGAAGGTCTAATCAATTTGTTCTTATTTGAAATTTAAAGAGCTTGAAATGGCACTGTCCAGTACAGTATACATGGCTATTAAAATTAAAATTCACTTAATTAAAAAAAACAATTTCTTAGTCACACTAGCCACATTTCACGTGCTTTGTAGCCACCTGTAGCAATTGCTAGAAATTTTTATTGGACATTGCTGGCTTTGAAATATCTGGCTTATAAAATCTTCTCTCAGTATGATTAGGTAGCGCTCATAATCAATAGGACACTTTTTAAGGTATGATTAAATATTTCGTTGTTCATGAATATCATTATTTAAAATTGCATAGGGTTGTGTTCTAAAGAATAAATTCCTACTTTTTAGTTACGAAAAGCCTTTTTGTTTTGTGGGAGGGAGGAATTTTCAAATGAATGGTTACCCATTATCTGTTGATGTCCTTTTTTTTTTTTAAAGATTTTATTGGGGAATTTGGGGAGGGGAACAGACAAGTTGCTGTCCTTTTGTTCTTCAGTCTAGTTGTGGAGGATTTTGCTTCACTGGCCCATGTTGGTATTATCATTGCGCTCTTTCCAGGTGTGGCAGATCGGTCGCCGGGCTCTGGACAGCCGCTCACAGCGGCTCTTGGCAGCTCCCACCTGCTGCCGGCCTCTCACGCTGGCTGCCGGCCACACACGGCAGCCCACTGCAGCAGGGGCTGCAGCTTACGCTGTCACCGGCAACTCAAGGCAGCCCAGCTCCAGGTTGAGCTGTTGTTCACCATCTTAGCTGCAGAGGGCAGTGTCACTGGTGCTCATGTGGGATCCGAACCGGGGCCCTGCTGCTCAGAGCTGGCATCCCAAGCCAGCTCTTAACCAACGTGCCACTTGGCCAGCCCTGTTGATGTCCATTTTTGATATTTGAGGTTTAACTGTCTTGAAATTAAGTAGATGAATAAATCATCATCATAGAATATCTTCAGTGATTTTTTACTACCTCATATAGTTTTGTTTTTTTCTAATTTTTTTATTGTTAGTTTCAGGTGTACAGAACAATGCAATGGTTATCCTTTTCACCCTCACAAAGTAACAACCCCCCTTCCCCCATCTACTGCCCTCCCACCCCTGATATCGTGCTTATCTATTACAATTCCGTTGACTCCATTCCCACTCTCTCCTCCATGTCCCATGACTATATGTATATATAATTATAGTTGACATACAATATTATTCAACATCAGCTTCAGATCACATAGTTTTGGGTGTGTGTTGAGACTAATTCAGATTCACTCTTAGCAAATGTCAAGTATACAATAGTATTATTAACTGTAAATACCATGATGTACATCAGATCTCTAGAACTTATTCTACTTATAACTGAAAGTTTGTACCCTTTGACCCATTACCCCAACTCCTCAGCGCTAGAAACCACCATTCTACTCCCTGGTAATAAGAGTTTAACTTTTTTAGGTTCCACATATAACTGAGGTTGAACAGTATTTGTCTTTCTCTTTGACTTAGCATAATGTCCTCAAGGTTCATCAGTGGTGTCACAAATGACAACACTTCTTATTTGTTTATGGCTGAATAATATTCCATTGTATATATTAATATTTACCACGATTCCTTTATCCATTCATCCATTGACTGAAAGTTAGGTTGTTTCCATATCTTGGCAGTTGTGAATAATATTGCCATATACATGGGAGTGCAGATATCTTTTTAAAGATATAGATTTTATTTTCTTTGGATATAGACTGAGAAGTGGGATTGCTGGTCATATGGTACTTATATTTTTATTTTTTTGAGGACTCTTCATACAGTTATCCATAAAGGTTGTGTTAATTTACATTGCCAACAGCAGCGTACAAGTGTTTCCCTTCTCCAATTCTCTGCCAATGCTTATCTCTTGTCTTTTGTGATAATAGCCATTCTAACAAGTGTGAGATGCTATCTCATTGTGGTTTTGATTTGTGTTTCTCTGATGGTTATGATATTGAGCACCTTTTCATGTACCTGTTGGCCATTTGTATGTCCTTTTTAGAAAAAAATGTCTGTTCATTTGTCTATTTCTTTGCCCATTTTTGATTGGGTTATTTACTTTTTGCTGTTGATTTATAGAAGTTCTTTGTAAATTTTGGATATTAATCCCTAATCAGATACATGGTTTGCAGATATTTCCTTCCATTCTGTAGGTTGCCTTTTCATTTTGTTGATATTTCTTTCACTGTACAGGAGCTTTACATTTGATGCAATCCCGTTCATTCATTTTTGCTTTTGTTGGCTGTGCTTTTGGTGTAATATCCAAAATTTCATTGCTAAGACCAATGTCAAGGAGTTTTTCTTCATGTTTTCTTTTAGGAGTTTTATGGGTTCAGGTCTTACACTTAAGTGTTTAACCCATTTTGAGTTCATTTTTGTGTACCATGTAAGATAATGGTACCATTTCATTCTTTTACATGTAGATATCCTGTTTTCCCTGCACTCTTTATTTATTGAAGAGGCTATCTTTTCCTCATTGTGTATTCTTGGCATCATTGTCAAAGATTAGTTGACCACATGCATGAGTTTGTTTCTGGACTCTCTGTTCTTTTCCACTGGTTGATGTGTCTGTTTTTATGCCAGTACCATACTGTGAAATCAGAAACTATGATTCCTCCAGCTTTGTTCTTTTTTCTCAAGATTTCATTGGCCAGTCAGTCTCTTTTCTGGTTCCATGTGAATTTTAGGATTGTTTTTCTATTTATCTGAAAAGTCCCATTGGAATTTTGATAGGGACTTCATTGAATCTGTAGATCATTTGGGGTAGTATGGAGATTTTAACAATGTTAATTATTCCAGTCCATGAACATAGAATGTCTTTTTGTTTGTTCCTCTATTATTTTGTTACCTTCAATCATATCTAGTATAGTAACTTATCTAAATAAAAATTTACATTGATTAACAACCTTTTATTTGCATTGAACTTAAACTAATTATTTTATAGTGTTAAAATATAAAGTATTAATAATTGGGAGGGGCTACTATTTATTATGCAATTACTTTATTGATATCACCATCTGTCAGTGACTAGATTTAAAGGAATGGAGTGGCATTTGAGTTGGCTGTAGTGGGGGTTGCATAATAGATGCTTTGCTCAGAGGCTCAGATATATTCCCTTGAGCTATCTATTGTGAGGAATGAAATTAGTTTCTAATCATATATTAATAATACTTGAAATTCAAGTGTCTGATGTATGCTGGGTATTTTCCTAGTAGCATTACACATATTCTTAGATGCTTGTAAGAGCTTTATGATATAGGTACTCTAATACCCCAGTTTTAAAAGATGAAGAAACTGAAGCTCAGAGAGGTTAAGTAACTTAAGACCCAAGGTCAAATAATTAGTAAGTGGGTAAAACAGGTTTTGAGCCAAGTAGTTTGAATCTAGAACTTGTGCTCTTAATGATCATACCATTAATAATACAATACATTAGTAAAAAGAAATCTCATGCTTCTATCCAATTTACTTTTGCTATTTTTGTTGTTAATGTTGTTGGTATATCTAATTATAGTCATGGAATACATAGAGTTACATGTTTGACTTTTATACTTATTTGCTTGATAACAATTTACTTTATTATTTGTGAATAAAAGTTAAAAATATGTTACATTGTAGTTCTTATTTAAGAATCTTATTCTTTGACAATAAATATGTTTTATTTTTTGACATTTTAGCAGGGAGAGTAGAGAGCTACCAGAAGCAATGGAAGGTTGTAAAAATGTACAGCAGAAAATTGAAGGTGATATTTTATATCTGTTTAACTTTTATAAGGTTTCCTAAATACGTTAACATTTTGGGACTAATAGTTTAAAAGTTTATAGCCATAAAATTAAACATTAGTAAATTTAAAAAGATATTCAATAGTGAATTTGATATTTTCAGTAAAGGTTCTTATTATATTCCAGATTCTGGGAGTGTACAAAATGAATATAATTTGGTTGTTATCCCCATAAGACCGGCAACTTACTAAGGGCACAAGCACATGATGTATCATTTTATTATAGTGTAATGCATGATAAATGTTTGTGTAATTTGAAAAGAGCCTACAGAAAGGAGCCAATCTGTTCAACTTGAGAGAGTTAGGAAGATTTTATGCAGCCTTAAAACATGAATAGGACTTAGTTAAGTGAGGAAGGGAGATATTTGGTATTTTAAGAAGATATAGTATGAACAAACAGCATGAATTGGGAATTCTAACTAGAATGGTATTAGAGTGTAAAGCAATAAGTAGGGGTAAGATTGGAGAGAGCCTAGTCAGAGGGATTGGATGCTGTGCTAAGGAACTTTTAATTAATTAATTGTACATAATAGGGAATCATTGAAGATTCTTTTTGTAGGGAAGTGACATTGTTGGATTTAATTTTAGAGAGATTATTCTGGCCAGACTTTAGAAGCTAGATTTGGGGACTGGGAGTAGAGAAAGGAAGTTATTGCTATATCTTAGATGTGTAATAAGTGCCTATATTAGCGCATAAGTTAAAAAGGAAGGGGCAGATTTGAGAAATAGGTAAAACTGGCAAAACTTGATGATTGGGTATGAAAGGAAGGGGGATTAGATGATGGTAACATTAACCAAGAGTATGTAAGAGGAAAAACAACTTTGGTTGAAAAAATAATGAGTTCACATCACTCAGTTAGACACATTCTTTCAGATATTACCACTTGTTGCCTGATTGGGAGGATGTATAGTGTTGGCAGCTGTATTTTCCTTAGCATTTTCTTTCTCTTGAATGAGTTATTAAAATAAATATAAAATTTATGAAAGTTAAATTCAATTAATACGTATAATTGATATTTGAAACTTACGACAAATTTACTGTTATTTCAGAATTCATAAAAGCCCACAGAACTGAAGAATTTATAGATGTTGTTGCACCTGAGCCACGTAAGTTTCCACTCATTTAAGCATCATTGTGTTAATAACCTCTGTTGAATGCATTAGTTTCTATAATTTTCTATAATTTAAAGTAATAATCATTAAGTTACAATATTGATTCCCTGAAGTTTGGAGTCAATGAGCTGGCTATTAAGCAAGTCTTGGAATTCCTAGTTAAGGCTACAAGTTACCAAAAACAGACTAATTTTTTTTTTAATTGGGGAGGGGGACCAGCCAAGTTGTTGTTCTTCAATCTTAGTTGTGGAGGGTGCCAGTTGCCATGTGGCTGCCCATCAGCAGCTTGTGGCCTCTAAGCTCAAGGTGCTGTGTTACAGTCTTAGTTGCGGGTGGGCGTAGCCACCATCCCATGTGTGAGTCGAACCAGCAGCCTTGTTGTTAAGAGCGCAAGCTCTATCCACTGAGCCATCCAGCGGTAGGTCAGCTCAAGGTGCTGAGTTCAGTCTTAGTTGAAGACTGGCATAGTCACCATCGAACAGGCAGTCTTGTTAGGAACACGTGCTCTCACCAGCTGAGCCATCCTGCCACCTGTTGGAAGCTGTGGCAGCTCAGCTTGGGCGCAGCATCACTGGACCATGTGGGAAATGAACTGGCAGCCCTGTTGCTCAGCACTCCCGCTCTTAAGCTAACTTTTTTTTTTAAATTTTTTTTATTGTTAGTTTCAGGTGTACAGAACAATGCAATGGTTATCCTTTTCACCCTCACAAAGTAACAATCCCCCTCCCCCCATCTACTGCCCTCCCTTAACTTAAGCTAACTCTTAATCAACTGAGCCACTTGGCTGGCCCCAGACTCATTTTTGAGGAGGGCCATGTTATTACTTGGAATTGAGGAACTGTAGTTGTGATGAGAACATGCTACTGAAATGTTGCAGGGGTGGCAGCCTTTAAGGTGGAGCAGTGATAAATTTAAGAGATCATTTGTAGATTTTGTTACTATGAATTACAGATTATCTCACATACACTAATGCTGCTGATGGGTAGGTACTCAGGGGCATCAAAGCTATTAGAATTAGTATGTGAAACTTCTGACTACTTGTCAACAAGAAGGAGAAATTGCCTTGCTTATGTCTTAATACTGGAGAGAATTTTGTAACTTTTCATGTGGATAGTGAAAACCTTTCCTCTACATGAAGCCCTCTGCACATCTATGGAGCTTGCTGTCTCTCAGTCTGTGCTGCTGTCTTCTCTCTACTACTGTGTCCTGTGAATTCTAGCAGCTATGGCCTCCCCAAACTCTAAATTTTGTCTCTACACTCAGGAAGACCAGTAGGCTCTGTTTGGGTTCCTCTTCCTTATTCCATGGACAGGAATCACCAGGCAATAAACTGCAGTCATCATAGGACTTTTCTGCTTTGTTTTCCTTCTCACAGGGATTATTGCCTTACACTACCTGTTTTGCAGTTAGTGCAAAATTGCAGTTTCTGAATATTATGGTTTCATTTCTTTTTGTCCAGTTTTTAATTAGTTTAAGGTGACAAGTTAATTCTGTTCCCCAGTGCTCCATCATGGATAAAAGCAGAGTCCCTTTGACTACTTATAGGCCAGTGGACCACATCCTCCAAACACAAAACCAAATTCCAAATAAATAAAATATAATAGTATAAATTTTATGCATGCTTTTTAAGGGAAGCACAGGACAGGGCTACATTGCACAATATGGAGTAAAATCTTCTGCAAATCTCTAAATATCTTTTCTCATGGCAGCTGCTTCAGTCCCTGAGCTCTACTGGGATAGATCTACTTGCTCTCAGTATCACTCTGTTTTACTTGTATACTTTCTTTTTCCCTTAACAGTACCCACTTGCATCTTCTCCAGCAAAACTTCATTCTCTTCTTCTCTTCCCATTCTCTGAATTGTGTTAGCTTCCATAGCCTAATCAACAAGACAAAAGCTACTTTTGTATTCCACTCTGGTTTGATTTTTAGACTGTCATTTAATGTTGAGGTTCCTTCATTTCATCATTAGTAGGCTTTGATTTTTAAAGCAGTTTTAGGTTTATAGAAAAATACAGCAGAAAGTACAGCATTCCTGCATACCCAGTCTCCCTCTAACCCCCTGAACAAAGTTTCCTCTATTATTAACATTTTGCATTGGTATGGTACATTGTTAAAGTTGATAAATCAGTATTGATACATTATTATTAACTAAAGTCCATTGAGCTATTTGTTTATTCTTTTGCCAGTATACACTGTCTTGATTATTATAGCTTTATAGTGAGTCATAAATTTGGATAGTGTCAGTTCTCCAATTTTATTCTTCTTCAATATTATATTGCCTTTCCATATAACGTTTAGAATCAGATTGTTGATATCCACAGAGTAACTTGCTGGGATTTTGATTGGGATCACATTGAACCTAAAGATTAAATTGGTAAGAACTGACATCTTAACAATATTGATTTTTCTTATAGCTATTGCTTCCCTATGTACAACAAGTAGAATTTGAAATTACAAACACACCATTTACATTAGCACCAAAACATTTAATACTTGGGTATTAATCTAGCTAAATATGTGTAAGATCTATATGAGGACAAGTACATTCTGGTGAAATAAATCAAAGGAGATATAAATAAATGGAGAGGTATTTCATGTCAGTGGATAAGAAGGAACTCTGGTATGCTTCCATGTTATTTAACATTTTCTCTGTACTTGTCATGTTTTGTATATCTAGTAGCAAACTTAGTGCAGAGACTGTCTTATGTCATCTAATTCTTGTGTTACAAGATTGAAGAGTCTTGTGTTATTGCCCCAAGAGTTAATTGACTATTATGGATCCTCATTATGTTGATACCTTTTTAAGTATCATCTTGAGTAACCTTTTGGGTTATTTGATTCAGCTGAAAATTTTAACAGGGTTGTTAGATTCTTCCCATAGACCTTATTGACTTTAACAGCAGCAACAAAGGCAGTTCTTTCTTAGCATCTTATAGTTCTCTTCTATGTAATATCATAAGGAGGATACACATACTGGACCTCAGTCCAGTCTTGTCACTTACTAGATGCATAATTTTAATTATGTTATATAACCTTCCTGAGCCTCAATTTCTTCATTTGAAATTGGTGATAGTATCTTTTTGGGGGGTTTATTTTGAGGATTAAGAGAATGTAAAATAGCATAGTGTCGTGCACGTAGTAGACATTTAATAAAATGGCAACTGTTTTTATCCTAAACATTTTGTTCCTTGAGTACGGACATGATCCTGCTCTCTCCTCTTTATACTTGTCTAGTTCTCACACATATAGCAGTGAATTATCAGCATAGAGGTATAACTTCAGCCATTTGTAATACCTTTAAATGTTTTCTTTCTTTTTTTAACAATAGAAACTGCTTATTCAGTATCTAATCAGTTGACTGCCATGTTGAAAATATTTGAAAAACAGTCAAATATGTTACAGAGGTAAGCTTTTAAAATGATTCCTTTTCCTAATTATAAAACTGAATACAGGTATATTTTAGAAAAAATGAAAATATAAAGAAGAAAATAAGATCATTGTTAAAAATATTTCTGTTCTTACATCAGTTTTTACATGTATAATTTTATAACTTAAAATTATAATCATACAAAATATAAAACTTTATAGTCACAATTGAAAACAGTATGTCAATTCCTCAAAAAAATTAAAAATACAATTACCATATGATTTAGCAATTCCATTCTTGGGGATATGCCCCCCCAAAATTAAATCATCTCAAAGAGATATAGTACACCCATGTTCAGTGTAGCATTATTCCAGCAAAAAGCTGGAAGTAACCCAAGTTAATGAATGAATAAAGAATAATGTGATATATACATACAATGGAATATTATTCAGTCTTGAAAAGGAAAGAAATTCTAACACATGGTACAACATGAGTGAACCTTTAGGACATTATGCTAAGTAAAATAAGCCAGTTACAAAAAGACAACAATTTTATTATTTCACTTATATGAGGTACCTAGCCTTTAAATTTATAGAAGGAGAAAGTAGAATGGTAGTTGCCAGGGGCTCTGGGGGATGGGGTTGGGGAGTTGTTGTTTAATGAGTACAGAATTTCAATTTTGCCAGATGAAAATAATTCTGGAGATGGGTTACACACAATGTGAATGTACTCTACTGAATTGTATACTTAAAAATGGTTAAAATGGTAAATTTTATGTTATGTATATTTTACCACAATTTTAGAAAACTAAAAAAAAATTGCAATCATACAAAATATCATTTGTATATATACTTTTCACTTAGTGATAATTCTTTGTAGAATTATGTAATTACTTTTAAAGTAAATGTTTAAAGCAAAACATATTCAGAAAATTCACATCGGGCCGGCCGAGTGGCGCGATGGTTAAGAATTGGCTTGGGACGCCAGAGGGCTCCGGTTCGGATCCCACATATGAGGGCCAGTGACACTGCCCTCTACAGCTAAGATGCTGAACAACAGCTAAACCTGGAGCTGGGCTGCCGTGAGTCGCTGACAATGGCGTAGGCTGCAGCCCTTGTGGCATTGGGTTGCCATGGGCTACTGTGTGTAGCCAGCAGCCAGCGTGAGCGTCCAGCAGCTGCAGTGAGCGGCCGTCCAGAAGCTGGCGACTGATCTGCGTCGCCTGGGAAGAGTGCAATGATGATGCCAACTTGGGCCAGTGAAGCAATGCCACAACTAGACTGAAGAACAAAAAGACAGTAACTTGTCTGTTCCCCTTCCCCCAATTCCCCAGCACTGTTCCCATCCCTCAATTCACCAATTAAAAAACACACACACACAAAAATTCATATCATACAGTGTTTTCAAAACACTGTGCTTGGAACAGAATCTCAACTCAAATTAGTCTTAGCAAAAGACATTTTATTATTAAGATTCTGGCCATCTCATTGAGCCTAACGTTAGCAAGGTGACTCAATCTCAGAAACAAGTATAAACCAGAACTTTTGAACACTATCAGGATACTTTTTATTTTTCTCCACATATGAGCTTTATTTTCTCCCATTGCAGACCTCTTCTTTGCTTCTATTTTCTTTTGTAATTTTTTGCTCATAAGTGGGAAGTCATGACTGCTGAGAGTTCCTAAGGTTTAATCTTTCAGTTTTAGTCACTCTGAGGGATAATATTTGAATTTTTTTTGCATTTATGGATGATTTATTTATTTACTTATTTATATTTTATGTTTGTTTAATTTGTTAAATTTATTGGGGCGACATTGGTTAGTAAAATTATATAGATTTCAAGTGTACATTTGTATAATACGTCAACTATATATTACATTGTGTGTTTACCACCCAGAATCAGTTCTCCTTCCATAACTATATATTTGATCCCCTTTCCCTCTTCTACCACCCTTACCTTCTGGTAACTAAACTGTTTTCTGTGTCTGTGAGTTTTTGTTTCTTTGTTAGTCTTGTTCCTTTGTTGCTTTCAGTTTTATATCCACATATGAGTGAAGTCACATGGTTCTTGACTTTTCCAGTCTGATTTATTTTGTTTAGCATAATAATTTTAAGATCCATTCATATTGTCACAAATGATAGTGTTTTATCTTTTCTTATGTATATATATATATCACATCTTCTTTATCCAATCATCTATCAAAGGAAACTTTGGTTGTTTTCATGTCTTGGCCACCATAAATAATGCTGTAATGAACATCGGAGTACATATATATTTATGGATAAATGTTTCAGATGTTTTGGGTAGATACCCAGGAGAGGGATTACTGGGTCATATGGTAATTCTATTTTTAATTTTTGAATTTTCTAAGTCTAAATGTCATTGGTGAGAGGATCACTTACGTAGCTGGAGACAGGACCCATTTTTTGACCAATCAACTCTAGTCAAAGTCTAATTATCATGTAAGCTCTCTCAGGAATTATAGTGATTCAAAGGGGTGGGGTGAGGGAGGGTTCCCCAAAAAAGGTGGGGTCTATTTCTGAGGTACTTAGTAGTGAGCAGAAGTAATGGGATGAAAGTCATAATAACGTAGGATAACATATAGGAAAAAGGATTGTATTTTGTTATTATGCATGACAGGGCAACCATGCTGGTCTTTGGGGGAACTAATAGACCTATTCATCGGGATGTGGCCAATCTGTTGGTCTAGCTGTTGGTCTGTGGGTAGTTGAAAATGGAAAAGTAAACACAGACCTAGAAGACCTTGGAAAGTTTTTTCTTCAATTATGGGACAAATTGGGATTCAAATTAGAGATTGGATTATAGGATGGTTTGTGAAGGCATACTACTTCTTTGATGAACAGAGTGCTGAGAGCTGGTGTCCAGTGTTAGGGATGAAGTTGTCAACATTGATGAGAACACTGTCCATCACCAGAATCATGTGTGGTCCTGACAGGAAAGCAGGCCTATTAAGAGATCCATCATGATGTTTTATTCTAAGAAGGCATAGGGTCAAAGTGGGATTAATAGGTTGTCTTGCTTTTCCAACTTTCTTTTTAGCTTAAGTACATGTATCATAGGTAGTTATGTTATGTCAAAGGTGGAGTCATATTAACTTCAATATGGCAAATTCAAAGTCTTGAATGAATATCAGTGGCCAACTAGAGTACTGGCAAGGCAAAGACATCCATTTGGCCAAAAAATAATGACAGAGTTTTCACACCATTTAAAAAAACTAAATTTAATGTTGATTACAGACATCAGTGTAAAAAAACCAAAATCATAAATATAGGGAAATGTATTAGAATCTCTCAAAATTTGAAACATATTTTCAAAAAATGATTCAAAGTTAAAAGATTAACCATGGACTGAGGATAATAGTTGTGCACGTACAAGAGAAAGGAGTGATAATAAGAATATATAATTCCATAAAAGGCAAATAACACTTAAAAAACAGGCTATAATTTAAAGAAGAGATAAAAATGGCTAATAAACATTTTAGGAGATGCTCAATCTGACTTGTGATCAGGGAAATGCAAAGCAAAGCAGCAAAAATACATTTTTTGTCCTATCAGTTTAACAAAAAGTAAAAATTTTCTAACATCAAGTTTGACAGAGATGTAGTGTAATGAATACCTTAAAATGCCAATACAATAGGAATTACCTACTTCTGAGACATGCTTTATTTAACAATAACAACAATGATTTATTCCTTATTATACAGCATACCTCTTTTAACCTACCCTAGATGAAGGAATATGCTCAAGGAGGCATATATGAAAATAAATTTATTACATCATTGTGATAATAGCAAAAAACTAGAAAGAATTTCAATTTTTGTTAGTAGGAGTATGTCTCAATAATGAATAATAATAAGGAAATTCTATCAACAACTGTATGACAACAAATTATTTTAGATAACTTACATAAGATGGAAAAATTCCTGAAAGACACAAACTAAACTGACTCAGAAAGAACTAGAAAATGTGAATGGAACTATAGCAAGCAAAAATATTTAATTAGTAATTAAAATATTTCCCACCAAGAAATGCTCAGGCTAGATGGCTTTACTGGTGAATTCTATCACCAGTAAATTTAAAAAAGAATTTAAAAAAGAATTAATACCAACCCTTCACAAACTCTTTCAAAAAGTAGAAGAGGAGTTAATACTTCACAACTCATTCTGTGAGACTGGTATTACTCTGATATCAAAATCAGACAACAGTATAAAAAGATAAGAATCCTCAGACCAATATGTTATGAATATGAACCCAAAATCCCCAGCAAAATACTAGCAAATTCAATCTAGCAACACATAAAAAGGGTTATAAACCACAAGCAAGTGCAAATTATCCTAGTAATGCAAGGTTGGTTCAAAATGCAAATATCAATTAATGTATTACATGATACTAATTGAATTAAGGAGAAAAATATCACATGAGTGATTTACTAGACAAAGAAAAAGCATTTGACAAAATCCAATGCTGTTTCTTTTTTTCTTTTTTATTTTTTTAATTAAAATGTATTGGGGTGACAATGGTCAACAAATCTACATAGGTTTCAAGTGTACAATTATGTAATATAGCATCTATATATTGTATTGTGTGTACACCACCCAGAGCCAGTTCATCCATCACCATATATTTGATCCCCTTTACCCTCTTCTACCATCCCCTCTCCCCACTTATTCTCTGGTAACCACTAAACTGTTTTCTGTGTCTATGAGGTTTTTGTTTCTTTATTTGTTTATGTTGTCCAATACCCTTTCATGATAAAAATGCCCCAGAAAATAGGAATAGAAGGGAACTTCTTTTATCTGATAAAGGCTTTCTATGAAAACCATTATTCATACTTAATGGTGAAATACTTAATACATTCTCTGTAAGATCAGGAACAAAATAGGACATTCTTACCACTTCTGTTCATCATTGTAGTAGAAGTTATAGCTAGGGCAATTCCAGAAGAAAAGGAAATGAAAAGTGTTCAGACTGTAAAGAAAGAAGTAAAACTACCTCTTTTGCAGATGTCATGATCTCATATATAGAAAATCCTAAGGGATCCATTAAAAATATTAGAAGAAATAAATTAATCAAGATTGTAATATACAAAATTTGTAAATAAAAATTAATCGTATTTGTACACACTAGGTGTCATGGGTTGGACTGTGTCCCCCAAAAAGGTATGCTGAAGCTTTAACCCCTAGTATCTCAAAATGAACTTATTTGGAAATAAGGTCACTGTTGATAGAATTAGTTAAGATGAAGTCATACTGGACTGGGACAGGCTCTTAATCCAATATGACTGATATCCTTATAATAATTGGAGAAGATAGATACACACAGAGGGAAGACAGTCATGAAGGAAGAGATTGGAATTATACTTCCACTATCCAAAGAATGCCAGGGACTACTAGAAGCTGGAAGAGACAAGGAAACATACTTCCTTAGAGATTTCAGAGGGAGCATGGTCCTACTAACACCTTAATTTTAGATTTATAGTCTCTAGAACTGTGAAACATAAATTCTTATTATTTAAGTCACCCAGATTGTGATACTTTGTTATAGCAGCCCTAGGAAACTAATACATTAGCAATGAACATTCCAAAGATGAAATAAAGAAAACAATTCCATTTACAATAGTGTCAAAGAAAATGAGAATGAATTTAACAAAAAAAGTGCAAGACATGTGTATTGAAAACTACAAACCATCATTGAAAGTACTTTAATAAGACCTAAATAAGTGGATAGACATCCCATCCTCAGGGACTATTAGACTTAGAATGACAATACTCCCCAAATTGATCTACAGATTTAATTGCAATCTCTATCAAAATCCCAGCTTTCTTACATGAATTGACAAGCTGATGCTAAAATTCATGTGGAAATACAGGAACCCAAAATAGCCAAAGAAATCTTAAGAAGAAAAACAAAGTTGGAGGACTCACACTTAACTGATTTTAAAACTTAATAAATATAAAGTGATAGTAATCAAGACAGTGTGGTACTACCATAAGGATAGACCTATATGGATCAATAAAATAGAATTGAATGTCCAGAAAGAAACCCTTACATTTACCGCCAATTGATTTTCAACAGGGAGGCAAAGATAATTCAGTAGGGGAAAGAATAATCTATTTTAATAACTGGTACTTGGACAACTGGATATTCATATACAAAAGAATGAAGTTGGATCCCTTTTCCCTGCCAGGCACTAAAATTAACTCAAAATTATCAAAGACCCAAATTTAAGACCTAAAACTGTAAACATCTTAGAGGAAACAGGAGAAAATCCTTTTGACCTTGAGTTAGGTAATGATTTCTTAAATAGGACACCAAAAGCACAACCAACAAAAGAAAAAAATAGATAAATTGAACTTCATAAAAATTAAAAACTTTTGTGCTGCAAATTATACTATCAAGAGCATGAAAAGTCAACTCGTAGAATGTGAAAACCATTCACAAAGCATGTATGTGATAAGGGACTTGCATCCAGAATATATAAAGAACTCTTACTCCTTAATAATAAGAAGATAAATAACCCTATTTAAAAATGTGCATATTATTTGTTTTCTCAAACAAGATATACAAATGGTCAATAAGCACATGAAAAGATGCTCAACATCATTATTTACTAGGGAATTGCAAATCAAAACTATAATGATATACTACTTCACATCTACTGGGATGACTATAATAAAAAAGATGAACAATAACAATTGCTGGCAAAGATGTACAGAAATTGGAATCCTCATCCATTGGTGGTGGACACTTAAGTGGGACATCTGCTATGGAAAATAGTTTGTCAGTTCTTCAAAATGTTAAATATAGAGTTAACATATGACCCAGAAATTCTGTTCCTAAGTTTATATCCGAGAGAAGTGAAAACATATCTTCACACAAGAACTTGTACATGGGTGTTCATAGTAGCATTATTCATAATACCCAAATAGTAGAAACACCCCAAATGTTCTTAAACTGATGAATGGGTAAATAAAATGTATATATCCATAAATAGAATATTATTTGGCAATACAAAGGAAAATAATAATGAGAAATGCTACAACATGGATGAACCTTGAAAGCATTATGCTATGTGTAAGAAACCAGTCTCAAAAGGCTGCATATTGTATAATTCTGTTTGTATGAAATATCCAGAATTGGCAAATATATATAGATAGAAGACAGATTAGTGACTGCCAGAGCTGGGGCAGTGCTGAGAGGAGTGGGGAGTGACTACTAATAGGCATGGAGTTTCTTTTTGAAGTAATTAAGTTATTCTGAAATTAGATCTTGGTAATAATTTGATGAACATATTAAAAGCCATTAAATTGCACATTTTAAATGAATGAATTGTATGTATGTTAATTACATCTTAATAAAGCTTTAAAATTCTGATTATAATAAATAACTCATTTGTAAAAAAAAAATCTAGTTTATCTATATTATAGAACAGTTGTCATCAAACTACAGCCCATGGGTCAATTCTAGCCTGCGGCTTATTTATGTAAATAAAGGTTTATTGAAACATTCATTTACCTATTATCTATAGCTGCTTTTGCAGAGTTGGGTGGTAATGACAGAGATCATCTGGCCTGCAAAGTCTCAAATATTTACTGTCTGGCTCTTTATAGAAAAATTTACCAAATCCTTTTATGGAATAGGAAGCGGTATTTAAAAGGAGTGAGATAGATCTATGTTTACTAGTATAAATAGATCTCAGAAATTGCTAAGTGAAAAAAATAAGTTGATAACAATATATACAGTGAAAAATAAAACAGACATCCAACCAACTAACAAAAATTATAGAATCTAATAGGTACATGCAGTATTATATAAATGCATGGAACAAGTTCTGGAAAGATAAACAGCAATCTAATATTATCTCTGGGAAGAGCACTGGATTTTTCAAATGGTAGTCAAAGTGTACTCTAATCTTATTTGTATTATTTTAACTTTTGTACAAAGAAAATGTATAAGTATGTTACATAAATAAAAATATAAGTGAAAAATTATAGATATATTTTTTTTCAGAGTTAGGAGTGATCAAGTTTTGTTGGAGACTGTAAGTATAGCACGCTCAGTTTGAAATTGCACATTGTCTTTGTTGTTAATAGATTCTAGAAATTGTCAGAATACATAATCTTAAATAAAGAACCAATGTTTGCTAGGTTTATTCTATGCTTATGTGAGCTGAAAAGCATTGTGTATTTTTTTGACTTTACTAGATAAAATCACTCAGAAACACTTCACTTCTGGAACACTGAACTGTAATATCCAAGCTTCCATTCATTATCGTAGTCCCTTTGCCTCCTACTACCTCCATAATAGCTTCACTATACAGATTAGTACCAGCAGTTCATTATTTTCATGAGTTAATAAAGACTTTCTTATTTCTTACTTTAATAATTAAGTACCCAAATAAGTTCTCTATATTGAGATGTTTGCTTTTCATTCACACTAAAATTGTAATATTTGTTTTTAGAAATACAAACAGATGCAAAATGATTACGAAGTGTTATCAAAGGAGAAATTGATGCTGGAACATGAACTACAAAAGCTGAAGAATACAGAGGTCAGTTAAATTTTAGTGTATAAAAATGGTATACATTATCTACATTTTTAAAACACAGCTGTTACCAATTATTAATATTGAAAATATATTACAAAACATTTAAATATACATTTGATAAGAATTGTAATATATTTTCAATATTAATAATTGGTAACAGCTGTGTTTTAAAAATGTAAACTAATCCTGTATTTAAATTGCCATATGTGGGAAAGATGTAGGTTAGGAAAGTTCATCTTCATTAGCTGATATGACCCCATTGTTTCTTTTGGTCTCTTTCTCCCTCGTGTTCCCTGGCAGGGGAGACATGAAGACATGAGGTGATGGTTGATCTGTTTGTCTTTGCTTATTTTGGTCTGTTCTTCCCTCATTTCATCCCTGGAAGGAGAGATATGCAGTGAAGTTCTCTTTGTCTGTTTGTAACAGGCACATTGCCAAGCCTTTCCTGGCCTTGGGCCCATGACCCCAGGCAGGAACAGCAGGCTGCTTGTCTGGATGAACTGGCCTTTCAGCCGGATAAGCAATATCCTTATCACTGTAACTTTGGAGCCTGTTAGATAACTTCAAGATGTCGCAGTAGTTTCTGGTTTTGCTTTCTTGTATTGTTTCTTTAGGTTTTGTGTGTGGAAAGCTAAAAAGTGTGGAAGTGTGAAGGAGAACTAGGGAAGGAACATTACTACATATACAGTAGTGGTAATATTATATCCACATGAAGATAATGACCGAGAGATCTAAGAGATAGTCTGTTCAGAGAAAGGAACTAGTTGGTGCAATAGGATGGTAGGAAGAGAATAATAGCTAATGAATTACGTCAAGCTCAGGATTTCTAATAACAAATATACAAGTTTTATTCCAAAGTAGGCTTCCTTTCCTAACTTAACTCTTTTAATAATTTTATTTTTGTAGACAACCATTTTTAATAATCAAAAGCCATATGTGATTACTATTTTTGTCTAGTAAATGTTAATCAGTAGTTTCCTGTGTTGATTTGGGTTTCATTTATTTATTTTCTTGTAAGTAGGAGAAACTGACCCTGACTATCTAAAGAAAGGAATTGGATGGGTAACTCAAAGAATTGAAGGAAAATTGAACAACATGTTTGGTAGGGATAGGCTTTATGGTAATTCTTGGAGTCAAAATAACAGAAGTTCATGAACAGTCACTACATTTGTATTTTGAGGTAATTTTTAGAGAGGGAACATATGGCTATGTTTTCCTTACCCATTTGTGTGCTGGCTCCAGAATTGCTGAGCTCCTACTGCTTGCATTTCATAATAGTTACTTCTTAGATGAGTGGATCTTATTGGCCTTGCTTGGGTCAAATGTCAAGTGACATAAGAAACATGGCAGCGTGAGGGGTCCCCTTTGATCTCTCCCCTTGAAGTTACAAGAAGTTGAACAGCTATATTTCAACAAAGAATTCCCTGTGCAACACACAAATGTATCTGAGAGATCCATGAATCAAAGCATCTGAAGGTGGGCAAATCAGGGAAAACAAGGGAGGAGGAAAGGGAGACGTGCAGAGACAGGTGCAGAGACGCATCCCAGAGCTCACTGTGGTCCCAGGAGAGGGGAGGATTCAAGCTGCAGATGTACTCTCTGTAGTCCTAAGCAATCCTGCCAGAGTGATCAGCATGTAATAAGGCTGAACCCAGCAATCAATTGAGACCTCAGGGCAACAACTGAATACAGAAGTGTGACAATTGTGGTCAAACAGCCCTCACTGCAAGGCAGAAAACAAAGCCACGGAGTCTGGGTGCTTCCCCGCACCCTCCCAGAGCCAGCAGCAGGCCCCAGAAGAAACTGTAGCAATGTTGGGTTAAAGAGCAGAATACCTACAGTCCTGAGAACTGGAGAGACTGTTTCTGAGTGGCAGATGCACACTGTGGGTAATTCCAGTGACAAGGGGAGAGATATAGGGGCAAGGCAGCTGTGGTCTGGCAGTCACCATTACTCTGAAGAGAACGAAGAGAAAAACACATCAACCGACCCCACCCCTACCTTTCATGGCTGATTCCAGTGGGGGCACCCAGGGCTGCTGAGGCTCATAGCTCTGCATCTGGCTGCAGGGGCAGCAGTACGATTTTAGGGACTCATAACCCCATCTCCCACCACATCTTCCCATGGGGGTGATGTCCTGAGACCAAGGCAACCTGTTCGGAGATGAGACACCCTCCTCCCAGGGAGTCTTCCTCGGGAGAAGCTGGGCCAGGGCAAGAGCATGTAAAATGCTCGAGTGCTACCTACTGGAAAACAAAAGAAAGACATCTTAGCATTAACCTGCTGCAGAATTCATTCCCATAGAAGCCTAGGAAGAGAAATAAACCATCAGTTGCCATGAATAACCAAGGTAACTAGGCAGCTCAGAAAGAAAATGAATAAGCTCCAGAAAATAAACTTAAAGACAGGGAAATATGTGACTTAAATGACAGATAATTCAAGATTGCAGTCTGAAAAAACTCAATGAGATGCAAGAAAACACAGATAGGCAGTTTAATGAACTCAGAAATAAAATCAATGAACAAAATGAATACTTTACCAAAGAGACTGAAATTTTAAAAAAGAACCACCAAATAGAAATCCTGGAGCTGAAGAACTAAATAAAAGAGATGAAAAATGAAATAGCCAGCTTAGGAAATAGAGCTGACCAGGTGGAAGAAAGATATCAAAGATATAAACCTGGAAATGATGCAGATGGAAGAAGAGAGAGACTTGAGAGTCAAAATTAGTGAAAGACCTCTATAAGAACTCTCTGATTCCATCAGAAAGATCAATATAGGAATAATGGGTATACCAGAAGGAGGAGAAACGAAGAGGGAACAGAGAGCCTATTCAAACAAATAATCAATGAGAACTTCCCAAACCAATGGAAAGAACTGGATTCTCAAATACATGAAGCAAACAGAACACTTAACTACCTAATCCTAAAGGCCTTCCTAAAGGCACATTATGTTGAAACTGTCAAAATGAATGAATTCTCAAGGTAGCCATAGAAAAGAAGACAGTAACCTGCAAAGGAAAGCCCATTAGATTATCACCTGATTTTATAGCAGAAACTCTATCAAGCTAGGAGGGAGTGGAATCAAATACTCAAACTATTGAAAGAGAGAAATTACCAGCCAAGTATAATATATACAGCACAGTTATCCTTTAGATATGAAGGAATAATAAAGACCTTCCCAGACATACAGAAGCTGAGGGAACTTTCCACCACAAGGCCTGCATTCCAGAATATAGTAAAGGAGGTTATTTTATCTGAAACGAAAAGACAAAAGGGTACAAAACTATGAGTAAGGTTACTAACAGACAGAAGCAGGAAATGGCAACCGCTACACAGAATAGGGCGCTATACACTTAAACACAGCATATAGGGTAAAGGAGATAAAAATATTAAAAAAGAAAAAGAGAAGACAATTTGCTACTGCAACTGGAAAATTAACTCACAGCATAAATAGGGATAATTTGTGACAACAAAAACAAAAGGAAAGGGGGTAAAGGTCTGAATTTGCAAAGGGGAATGGAGATAAAATGCATGATGAAGAAAAAGGAGTAGTATATGTATGAAACTGTCTTTTACGTAAACTTCATGGTATACACTCAAAAAAATCCATAACTGAGACACAACATAAAAAAGAGGAAACAGAGGAAAATGTTATAGAATGCTACCAAACTAAAATACCAGACAGAAACCAATGACAAAGAAACAATGGAGACACCAAGCTACTAGAAAACAAAAGATAAAATAGCTGTAAAAAACCCTCTTATATAAATAATCACCCTAAATGTAAATGGACTGAACCAATGAAAAGGCACAGAGTAGCAGATTGGATTAAAAACAAAACCCAACTATATGCTGCCTTTAAGAGACACAACTCAGCTTCAAGGGCAAATATAGACACAAAGTGAAAGGTGGAATATGATACTCCAAGCAAATGGCATCCAAAGAAAAGTGGGTGTAGCCATACCTGATGAAACAGAGTTTAAGTTAAAAAAGGTAACAAGAGACAGAGATAGACATTTCATAATGATAAAGGTGACAATACATCAATAAGACAATACTTATCAATATAAATTCTCCCAATCAGAAAGCACCAAAATATATAAAGCAACGACTAACAGAACTGCAGGGTGAAACTGTTAAAAACACAACTATATAGGGTACCTAAATATGCCATTGACAGCTATGGATAGATCATGCAAACAGAAAATAGGAAATATCAGCCTTAAATGACACATTAGACCAAATGGATATAATTGACATTTACAGAACCTTTCATCTTAGAACACTAGACTATGCATTCTTTTCTAGTGCACATGGAGCATTCTCAAGGATAGGCCAAATGTTGGGACACAAAACTAGCCTCAGCAAATTTAAGAGGATTGAAATTATACCAAGCATATTTTCCTACCACAATGCTTTGAAATTGGAGATGAACTGCAAAAAGAAAGTGGGAAAAACCACAAATATGTGGAGATTAAACAACATGCTAACTAAAGAATGACTGAGCCAAAGAAGAAATCAAAGGAGATATAAAAATATACATGAAAGCAAATGAGAATGAAAATATAACGCTGTACAGAAAGCAGTATTATAGGGGTTTTTATATAATTACAGGCCTATCTCAAGAAACAAGAAAAATAACCCCCAAACAACCTAACATTACATCTTAAAGAACTAGGAAAAGAACAAATGAAGCCCTAAAACAGAAGATGGAAGGAAATAATAAAAATTAGAGCAGATTAAATGAAATAGAGAACAAAAAGATAATTGGAAAAATTAGCACAACAAAGAGCTGGTTCTTTGAAAAGATTTATAAAATTGACAAAACTCTGGCCAGATTCACTAAGGAAAAAAGAGAAAAGACAAAAATAAACAAAATAAGAAATGAAGGAGAAGTTACCATGGATACCACAGATTGTACAAGAATACTATGAAGGACTATATGCCACTGAATTCAATAACCTAGAAGTTCTTAGAAATATATAACCTCCCTAGACTGAATCACGAACTGGAAAATTTAAATGGACAAATTAACAGTAAGGAGTTGAAACAATCATCCAAAGCCTCCCCAAAAACAAAAGTCCAGGACCAGATGGCTTCACTGGTCAATTGTACCAAACATTCAAAGATGACTTGATACCTGTCCTCCTCAAGCTCTTCCAAAAAATTGAAGAAGAGGCAATACTCTCTACCTCATTTTATGAGGCCAACATCACTCTGATACCAAAACCTGGTAAGGATAACACACAAAAAGAAAACTACAGACCAATATCTCTGATGAATACATATGAAAAAAATCCTAAACAAAATATTAGCAAATCGAATGCAATAATACATTAAAAAGATTATACATCACTATCAAGTGCAGTACAACATACACAAATCGATCAATGTGATACACCACTTAAACAAAATAGAGGATAAAAATCATATGATCCTATCAATAGATGCAGAAAATAGCATTTGACAGCACACAATATCCATTTATGATTAAAAGACTTAAAACAATGGATATAGAAGGAAAGCATCTCAATATAATAAAGGTCATATATGACAAACCCTCAGCTAATATCATACTTAATGGTGAAAGCTTAAAGCTTTTCCTCTAGGATCAGAAACAAGTCTGGGATGCTCCCTGTAAACACTGTTATTCAACACACTATTGGAAGTCCTGGCCAGAGTAATCAGGTAAGAGGAAGAAATAAAAATCATCCAAATTGGGAATAAAGAAGTTAAATTGTCACGTTTTGCAGATGACATGATTCTTTATTTAGAAAATCCTAAAGACTCCTCCAAAAAAACCTATTAGAAACAATAAACAACTATAGTAAAGTTGCAGGACACAAAATCAATATGCAAAAATCCTTTGTATTCCTAGACACTAACAATAAAATTTCAGAAAAAGTAAAGAAAAAACCAATTCCTTTTGCAATTGCAACAAAAAGGATGAAATACCTATGAATAATCTTAACAAATGGTGTGAAGGACCTATGTACACTGAAAACTGAAAACTATAAGACAATATTAAAAGAAATTGAAGAGGACACAAAGAAATGGAAAGATACCCTGTATTCATGGAGTGGAAGAATCAATATAGTTGAAATGGCCATATTAACCAAAGTTATATACAGATTTAATACAATCCCCATAAAAATCCCAATGGTGTTAAAAAATTAGAACAAAAAGTATCATCAGATTTGTATGGAATCACAAAAGACCCCGAATAGCCAAAGCAATCCTGAGAAAAAAGAACAAGGTTGAAGGTATCACACTCCCTGACTTCAATTTATACTACCAAACAACAATAATTAAAACAGCATGATATTGTGAGAAAAACAGACACAGAGACCAGTAGAATAGAATTGAAAACCCAGAAATAAACCCACATATATATGGGCAGATAATTTTTGACAAAGGAGCCAAAAATGTACAGTGGAGAAAAGAAAGCCTCTTTAATAAATGATGCTGGAAAAATTGGAAAGCCACATGCAAAAGAATGAAATTAAAGTGCTATCACCATATTCCACAGTTAACTCAAAATGGATCAAGCACCTAATATAAGACTTGAAACTATAAATTGCATAGGAGAAAGCATAGGTACTAAACTTCTGGACCTTGGGTTCAGAAAGGATTTTATGAATTTGACCTCAAAGGTAAGGCATGTAAGAGCAAAAATAAATGAATGGGACTATATCAAACTAAAAAGCTTTTGCACAGCAAAAGAAGCCATCAACAAAATGAACAGGCAACCAACTGAATGGGAGAAGATCTTTGCAAACAACACCTTGGATAAGAGGCTAATATCCAAAATATATAAGAAAATCATACAACTCAACATCAGAAAAACAAACAATCCATTTAAAAAATGGGCAGAGGACCTGAACATACACTTCTCCCAAGAAGACAAACAGCCAATGGTATATGAAAAAATGCTCAGCTTCACTAGTTATTGGGGAAATGCAAATCAAAACCACAGTAAGATACCACATTACACCTGTTAGAATGGCTATTATCAACAAGACAAGTAATAACAAGTGTTGGAGAGGTTGTGGGGAAAAAGGAACCCTCACACATTGTTGGCGAGAATGTAAACTGGTACACCCGCTATGGAAAACAATATGGAGCTTTCTCAAAAAATAAAGAATAGAATTAGTATATGACTCAGCACTCCCTCTTCTGGATATCTATCCCCAAAACCTGAAAACATTTATCTGTAAAGATATATGTACCCTTATATTCAATACAGCATTATTCACAGTGGCCAAGACATGGAAACAACCTAATATCCTTCGATAGATGATTGGATAAAGAAGATGTGCTACATATATAAAATGGAATATTACTCAACCATAAGAAAAGATGAAATCCTGCCATTTGTGACAACATGGATGGATCATGAGATTATTATGCTAAGTGTACCAGTCAGACAGAAAAAGTTGAGAACAATATGATTTCTCTCATGTCAGATATAAAATTGAAAGTAACAGATGAAAAATACAAACAAAAATTCATAGACACAGACAACAGTTTAGTGGTTACCAGAGGATAAGGAGGGAGGGGGGGTGGTAGGAGAGGGTAAAGGGAGTCAAATATATGGTGATGAAAGGAAAAATGATTCTGTGTGGTGAACACACAATGCAATATATAGATGATGCATTATAGAATTGTACACTTGAAACCTATATAATTTTACTAACCAATGTCACTCCAATAAATTGAAAAATATATATATATAAAACAAAATGGAGGGCCAGCCTAGTGGCTCATTTGGTTAATATTTGGCTCGGGAGCGCGGGCTCTGAGCAGCAGGGCCACCGGGTCGGTTCCCACATGGGCCAGTGACAGTGCGCCCTCTACAGCTAAGATGGTGAACAACAGCCTGACCTGGAGCTGGGTTGCTGTGAGTGGCCGGTGACGGCATAGGCTGTAGTGGAGCTGCAGTGGGCTGCTGTGAGCTACCATGAATGGCTGGCAGCAAGCATGAGCGGCCGGTAGCTGGTGAGAACTGTGAGCTGTTGTGAACTGCCGTGAGCGGCCGTCCAATGGCCAGTGACCAACTGCCTCAGCCAGGAAGAGTGCACTTATCATAATACCAACATGGGCCAGTGAAGTGACGTCCTCCACAACTAGACTGAAGAACAAAAGGACAGCAACTTGTCTGTTCCCCTCCCCCGATTCCCCCAATAAAATCTTTGAAAACAAAACAAAACAATAAAGAAAAAAACAAAATGGCAATAACTACAAAAACAAATGTCACCAGGACAATTTGAAATGAGGGAGGTGCAGGACCCTCCTAAAATGTGGTGCTATTTCTTAACAAGAGAAAAAGGACAATGGGCACAAATATCCAAATTACTGTCTTTTCTACTTACTTATTCCTGGTATCACCAAACTTTTACTCGAAAGAGCTAGATAAGTATTTTAGGTTTTGCAGGCCATACAACCCTTGTTGCAACTACTCAGCTCTGCTTCTGTAGTATGAAAATAGCCATAGCCAATACAATAATGGACGAGCAGGGTTGTGTTATGTTAAAACTTTACTCACAAAAACAGGCTGCAAGGCAGACTTGGCCTACAGTGTGTTGATTCCTTATTTACTTCATTTTGCTACCACCTGGCTTTCTATTCTAGCTTCCTAAATAGGATCCCATCAAGATAAAGAGCTATATTTCTCATGATATGTGTTTCTTAATCATTTAACTGGCTAAAACAGGGCTAATGTTCTTATTGGTTTTCTATTTTTTTCATATGTATTATTAACAACGTTCATTTTGTGCTGTGTACCTAAAGCCATTTCCCCCCATATGTCCTGCAGTTTGCATTGCATGATTTTTCATTGTGAGGTGATTTTCAGGAAGACATATGACATGTTATAGCAGAACTGACTATAATTTGTCAGGGGAATTTAATTGTTTTGATATACATTAACTTATATACAATGTACATTCAGTAAAGCACTATAGTAAACATTCTGACCTTAACATCAATTTTGTTTTGTTTCTATTCAGACAGTTTTTCTTGAAAAATAGTTTAGTGATTCTCAAAATAAAATGGAAATCTTAGTAGTGTATATTAGCATTTATTTCCCTATAATTTATTGACTTTATTTTTGGCTTATATAAACTTACACAGAAAACAAAGTCAACACGTGATCAAGCAAAGAAAACGATGAAACTAGAGAAGAAACATGCCAAAGAAAAATCTGAGGATTCAGAAGAGTAAGGCAGAAAGATACATGCTAATATTTTCTTTTCTTGTTGATTTATAGTTTCATTTTATACCAACAATTTGAGGTCATATAAACATAACTTATTAATAGGTTTCTAAAAATTGTAGCATTAGCAAGTAAGGACATGAGCCACATAACAATGTTTTGGTCAAGGATGGACTGCATATATGACAGTGGTCCCATAAGATTATAATGGAGCTGAAAAATTCCTATCACCTAGTGACACTGTAGCCATTGCAAAGTAATAGCACAGCACATTACTCACATGTTAGTGGTGATACTGTTTACTGTGCTACTAGTTGTATGAAAGTATAGCACATAGTATTATATGATTCATATTACTTGATAATGATAATAAATGATTATATTACTGGTTTTTGCATTTACTATCCTATACTTTTTATTGTTATTTAAGAGTGTACTCTTCCTACTTATAAACAAATGTTTACTGTAAAACAGTATTCCATGTTATGCCAGCAGCAGCCTCATACATCTCGTTTACCATGTCTCCTAATTGCATTATTTTCTTTTGTGCTTGATGTAATCTCATTATTTTACAAATTTAGTGTAGCCTGTTGTATAGTGTTTATAAAGTCTACAGAGGTATACAGTAATGTCTTAGGCTTTTTCACATGCACTTACCACTCACTCACTGACTCACCCAGAGCAGCTTCCAGTACTGCAAGTTCCATTTATGATAAGTGCCCCTATGCAGGTGTACCAATATTTTTTGCTACATTTTTGTTGTACATTTTCTATGTTTAGGTGTATTTAGATACACCATTGTGTTACAGTTGCCTACAGTATTTAGTACAGTAACATGCTGTACAGGTTTGTAACCTGTGAGCTATAGGTGATACCTTACAGCCTCGGTGTGTAGCAGGCTATACTGTCTAGGTTTGTGTAAGCGCACTCTGTGATGTTCACAAAACAATGAAATCATCTAACGATGGATTTTTAAGAATGTATCCTTGTTAAGCAACATGTAACTGTATAGTTTTATAAGCAAACTAGGATATGATTATGGGAGAAAGCTGAAAAGGGAAGAACAAAGAACTAAAGAGGAGGAGAATGAACCACAAGATATTTAGGAATAGGTGAATAGAATTAAATCTGTAAATTTCAGGGAAAAAAGTTTACATTGTGTCCTTGATGGTCTAGCTAATGATTTGTAATTTGTATGTTAAATCCCTAGTCTAGGCTGTTTCCAACCCCCCACCACGTTTTTTTTTTAACTGAAATTCTTCATTGTACTTATTTTATAAAACCAATTATCTATTATTATGTGCAGTAATACCTTGGTTGGCTAGCATAATTTGTCCTGGAAACAAACTACTCGTATTGCAAGACATCGTTCGTTTACCATGTTAAAATGTATTAGAAATGTTTGCTCGTCTTGCAGAACACTCCCAAACCAAGTTACTCGCAACCCAAGCTTTTACTGTATGTGAATTTTTGTAAAGTGGCCTTGTTAAATGAATATTTTCTTTAGCAATATAAAATAATTTTGCATTTTGAATTGGCTTTGTGAAACCCTAATATAAATATACAGCTTGAAAAGAAATAATGAATTCAATCTTTGTAGAGCTCCATGAATTCTGAAAAGAAATTTACTGGACAAATGGTCTTGACCTTTGAGCTAGAGAAGAAAAATGACAAGAGAAGAAAAAATGAACCAGTGCACTTTGAAAATCCTTGCCCCATCTCATCTTTTCATATTTTAATCATGCCAGTGAGAAGTTAGTTTGAGAAATGTTATTCAATTATTTATTTAACCTTTATGGATTTTATGGCTTTCAGAAATATTAATTTCTTCAGAAAAAATTTTTTAAATAAAGGGCTTAGATAGTCCTCAAGAAAGCAAAATAGTCTTGCAATTTAAAAATCTCATGATATGTTTTAAAACATTTTTAACTACAGGAAGAAGTCTGCAGTCAAAGAGTTTAAAATAAAGGAAGATTTCCTTAAAACCCAGGTAAGACATTCTCTCTGTGCATCAAAATTTGATAGAAAAGTGCTCTGATAATTATATGTATCACGACATTAGTATGTATGTGAATATAGGTGTGTGTATATACTAAAGTTCTCCTTAGATATTTCTGTTTTGTTGGTTGAGTCTTCTCAGTAAGTTTCAGAAAATAAAATGGTAAATCCAGGCATGTTTAATGACAAGGTTATGAAAATTATGATTTACTCAACTACAGGCAATATTGTGGAGGAAAGAACATCATACTAGGAGTCAGAACAGGGACTTACTAGTTAATTGACTTTGGAGAAGTCCCTTTAACCTACTTGAACTTCATCTTTTCCATTATTAAAGTCGCTAAAATAATAGCTGCCCTATTTATCTCAAAAAGGCATAAGAGGAGTAAGAAGCAAATAAGTAAAAGTTCTTCAGAAATTGTAAATTATGTAGCCCACTCTTTTTTTTTATGTGATTTAGTAAAAACATACAAATAATCCTTTATTTCATCTTCACTTTGAAACACTTTATTTTGCTACAGATAACTTCACAATAACCATCAGAGCATCATATCACCCATTTCAGTGAGTGGCTGGAGTTAAGTTTTCCACAATATGCACGTGAATGATTAAAAAAATCTGATAACATAAATTTAGGAAGAAAATGAGAGTTCTGCTTATGATATTGAATGTAAAATGTACAGCTTTATGGTATTAGTTTTCTATTCCTGCATAACAAGTTACCACAAATTTTGCAACTTAAGACAATTTATATTGTCCAACAGTTTGAGTGGATTGGGGGTCTGAGCATGGCTTAACTGTGTCCTATGCTCAAGGGCTCACCAAGCTGCAATCAAGGTATTGGCTAGGCTCTGTTCCATTATGTAACTTGGCGCCCTCTCCAAGCTCATGTGGATGTGGCAAACCAGTTTTTTGCAGTTGTAGGACTGAGGCACTCAGCCATGTGACCTTCTCCATAGGCGGTTTACACTACAGCAGCTTGCGAAGAATCTATCATGTTTGTTCAGACAGTGTCTTATATAATAAATATAATATAATATAATATAATATAATATAATATAATATAATATAATATAATATAATGATGGGAGTGACATCTTTTCACTTTAGCTATATGATGCAATCTAATAGAGGGAATGGCATCACATCAGTGCTGTGTTCTATTGGCTAGAAGCAAGTCACAGGCCACACTAAAAGGAGTGGATTATACAGAACATAACACCAGGGATGGGGATCATGGAGGCCATCTTAGAATTTTTCCCACCACATTTACTTATGAGCTTATTTTATATAGAACAGAATTTTATATATTTAAAAAATTATTATAATCTCATTATATTATTAATATTAAAAATCTTTAGGCTAGTGTTTTAGTTAATTTGGGCTTTATCTTAGTTCATTCGGACTGCTCTAACAAAATATCAGGGACTGGCCAGTTTATAAACAACAGAAATTTATTTCTAACAGTTCTTGGGGCTGGAACTTTGAGATCAGGGTACCAGGATAGTGGGGTAAGTGCCTTGTTCTGGTTGCAGACTTCTTGTTGTATTTTCACATGGCAGAAAAGGCAAGGGAGCTCTCTCAGGCGTCTTGTATAAAGGCATTAATCTCATTTATGAGGGCTCTGCTCTCATGACCTAATACTTCCCAAAGACCCCACCTCATAATGCCATTCCATTGGGCATTAGGATTTCGGCGTATGATTTTTTTGGGGGAATAGGGGCACCAACACACAGACCATAGCAGGCTGCTGGGAGTCGCCGGCGATGGCGTAGGCTGCAGCCCCTGTGGCAGTGGGTTGCCATGGGCTTCCATGTGTAGCCAGCAGCCAGCGTGAGGACAGCAACTTGTCTGTTCCCCTTCCCCCAATTCCGCAGCACTGTTCCCATCCCCCCAATTCCCCAATTAAAAAAAAAAAAGAGAAAGACTTGAACAAACAAAGGCTATTGAGAGAAATTCATGTGCTTGAGTATAATAAGACTTTTGGATTAAGGAGAGGAATAGTAGGAAGCCTGACATGGGCTATGTGTGAATGGCATATGTAGCTTGGATTTTCAGTAATAAATGGCTTATAGAAGAATACTATGGGTGATCTACGTGGTATTTTTTATTAGGATCATTCTACCAGCTGTATGAAAGATGAATTTCAGGGTAGAGATTGGATTTTGCAGTCAGGGAGAACAATTAGAGAGTTTTTTTGCAATACTTTAGTTCAGTGATAACCAAACTAGTTAATTATAATTTATATGAATTTATTAATATAGAATTAGAAATAGTATTTCTTGTAATCTAAATTTTACCACAGCCAAATGGTAAGATTTAATTTTATAAAAATATTGATTCTTTCAAATTAGTATAATAAATGTAACATATTTTTAATCAGAATTCAAAAATGACTTTTTTAAAAGGGAGACAAAATTTGAAGATTATATAGAACTTACCTGTAAAATCATCTAGGAGCCTTATTTTAAAAAATGCTAGCTCTGACCACTTTTCTAATTCCTTTTCAGATTATCGGTGCATGTATTTTGGTAGTTTATATTTTGATATAAGTTTATCCATTTGTAATGGCTTTTTAAGTTTATTGCTTGGAATTTTACATTATTTTATCTTGGTTCTTTTTTATCGTTTTCTTTTTCTGTTGCTCTGTTTCTACCTCTTTTCCCATTTCTTATCCATTTACAAAATTATTGTTTTTTTAAAAAAAATTTTATTTTCCTCTTAATCAGGTTTGTCAGGGCACTATTATAGGTTTTTTCAACTAACTGGTTTTGGGTTTCATTTAGCTGTTCTACTGTTTTATTTCTTGTTGCTGTTGTTTGTTTTTTATTTAATTTAACTTTTATCTTTATTAATTTTTTCTTTTTCTTTAGTTTATTTTTAGTTCCTTTCAAATCTGCATTAGTTGTATATGTAATTTATTTATTTTTACTTTTGTTTAATAACAGTAAACACTGTCCAAGCTATATAGTTTTCACTGAATACAACTTTATTTGTATTATATAGGCATTTGAGTTTTTCCTTGTTTCAAAAAAATGTTTTTAGTTCACCTTTTCATTGTCGGCATACCTTTTTATAGAATAAACATGAGAAAATATGACATAAAAAGTCTACATTTTGGAAATTTTAAAAGATTTTCTTTGTGGTCAAGTGCATACTTTTGGTTCAGTTTTGTATTACTTTGCAACTACACAAAGATTTAGAGGTTTAATACATCAGTAATTATTTCTCATTGATATTGGGGTTGGCTAGGCTCAACAGGATGATTCTTCTGCTCCATGTTGTATCAGCTGTGGTTACTTATGTGGCTTCATTCAACTGTGGAATGTTCAAGATGTCTTCCTAAAATGTCTGGTGATGGGTGGAATGGCTAAGGACTGAGTCTTTCTCCCTTATATAGTTGCTCATCACTCAATGGTCAAGCCGAAGCATTCTTACATGGCAGCTGGAACCCAGTAGGTAAAAGCAGAAGCTGCAAGACCTTTTAAGACCTGGGATCAAAAGCTTTAGAACATAATTTCCACATCTTACTGGTTAGGGGTAGCCCAGTCTCAAAGGGAAGAAAAATAGATTCCACCTCTTGATGGGAGAAATGGTATATGTATGTAGCAGTGGTACAAATTATAGATAATCATTTAGAAAAATAATTTACAATAGCCTTCCCTCTGGTCACATGTTAATATTTCTTCCATATGCAAATGTACCCACCTCTTCCCTCTAAACACTCATTTCATTCTAGTTTTATTTTGAAGTCTAGGGTCTTATCATCTGTACCAGGTCTAGATATGGATGAGATTTCTTGGCACAGCTCCTCTTAATCTGGAGATCTGTTATCTAAAAGGACAAGTTATCTTTACCCCGCTCCTCTAACACATACCTAACATACTATTGAGAAAAGGGTATACTATCCTGAGAAAAGGATAGGATGACTGCAGTAGGCACTGTTATTCAGAAAAAGTAAAAACAGAAGGCACGTTGTCCAGAGCAATTCTGAAATCCAGCCAGACACATGTCACCAGTTCTTATTCCCACAGAGGGGAATGTACCTTAATTAGGGTCTAGTTTTAGTTGCTCCTTGGGAATTGTTCCCTAATCTATGTGTTTAGTAGTGCTTTATTTTGCAGTATGGTACTTTGGTTCCATTCTCTGAATCATCCCTTTTCCATGAGAAATGGCTCATGTTTGCAGCCATTTCTAAGGCTGCCTGCTTCTAGAAAACTGGGGACCTAGAGCTCTCTTCATTTTGAAATGCTTCTGTCCATTTTAGTCTAATATGGCATTTCTCTTTAAAAACTTTGTTTTCCATGTATGTTATTGTGGTTCATTCTTTTACTCAAAAGCCCATAATTCTGAGATAGATTTTTACTTAAGGTATGTCAGGACAGTACTCTCAAGATTATTAAAGTCCTTTTGTCTAATTAGGATGACCCACAAAGAATATTTAAATCTTTCTGAGGTTTTAATAAAGGGCCCTAGAGCTACAACCTTGATGATTTAACTTTGACTCTGAAGCTCCATTTTATTTTTTTGTCAGTACCATGGCTCTGATCTTTGCCCTAAGATAATTTCTTACTTTGAGAAATTTTTTGCAGTCTAAAGATACTGTCTTGGACCATCTATGTGTTTATCCAATTTCTGCTTTAAAATTGAACAGTTCTTGCTTTAGTTCATCTCTCTTCTTGTATCACCATATTGTATATCACTAACATAAGCCAAGTTGTACTTTTAGCACTCTGACTGAAAATTTCCTTAGCCAGATTCACAAGTTTATTAGGTATCTTTTTAATCTTCCAAATTACTCCAGGCCCAAGTTTCGTTAATTGTTCTGTCACCACATAACAGAACCCCTCCCCTCTTTTTTAGCCTTCAGTATTTTCCACCCTTCAGTTTTCCAGCCTCACCTCCTTTTTATAGCCTCTGTGAACTAGTGCTAACAGATTGTTTGCCATTCCTCCAGTCTGCACCTGTAACTTTCTTACTACTTTCCTGGTC